ACGTTTTAAACCCAACTCATGTACCACTTAAATCAGCAAACAACTAAACCCTTGGGACATTCTTCAACCCCATGATGTGATGAGTCGACATCGAGGTGCTAAACGACTCCATCGACAAGAGCTCTTGGTAGTCATCAACCTGTTATCCCCGGCATACCTTTGATTCGTTGAGCGAGAGCCCTTTCACACGGGACTCCAGGATCACTATGGTCGACTTTTGCCTCTGCTCGACCAGTCGGTCTCACAGTCAGGCAGGCTTATACTATTACGCTCACGAGCAGAATCTTAACTTGAGCCTATTTTTGCACAACTTTGTTACTCTTTAAGAGGCATTTGCCCCAGATAAACTACCTACATTGCAGTGTCCCGCCCCCCCCCCCAATTTTTGGTGTGGCGGTTAAGCATCCTTAGACGAAAGAGCGGTCTTTCAGGATTGGTCGTTGTGTGTCATCACCTCCTACCTGTCCTACACATTCGATCAAGGTTGTCACTGCGAAGCTATAGTTAAGGTGCACGGGGTCTTACCATCTAGCCATTGGTACTCTGCATCTTCACGGAGAGTTCAATTCATCGGGTCCATGTCAGAGACAGCGGGGCAGTCGTTACATTATTCGTGCAGGTCGCTACTTATGCGACAAGGAATTTTCCTACCTTAGGACAATTAGAGTTACTGTCATTGTTTATCGAGGCTTTCATTCAAAGCTTATAACACTTCTCCTTCTAACCTTCCAGCACCGAGCAGGTGTCAGACTCTATACATTGTGTTACCAATTAGCAGAGTCCTGTGTTTTTCATAAACAGTCGCTACCTGCTGGTATGTGCCGCTTTCCTAATCAAAAGATAGGAGAGCACCCCTTCTCCCGAAGTTACAGGGTCATTTGCCGAGTTCCTTCGACATGGTTCTCTTAAGCGCCCTAGTATACTCTACTTGTTCACCTGTGTCGGTTTGGGGTACGGTCAGTTCACCGGGAGGATCGCCTTCCCAATTCAAAAGTTTTTTCCTGGAAGTTTCAACCTTGTTGATTATGACAATAGTTGCGACTATAAACAGACTCGCGACTATGGCTGGGCTTTAGCTCTGCTCTCTCGCAACCCCTACTCTAATCAAAAGACTAAAGGCCCCTACTGAAGATTGAAAAGGCGAGCACTGAAATGAGAAAGATCATTTATGACGCTGAACGACACTAAAAAACACTAAAGAGCACAAACGAAAGTGTTTCGAAAGGTGTCAGCAGGTGCGCGGAGACGGAGCCCAGTATGTTCGCCTGCTGGGTCGAGTGTTCGCCCACTGAAGACTCTTCGCCTTTAGATAACAAAAAGTGTCAGCCAAAATACGACGAGAGTTTTGCCTTTGGAAGCGCCAGTCGTGTAAGGCGCCTCGTGGTAAGGCCAGGCCAAGTCAGAAAGGCTTTGATGACTCAAGGTTCATATTAGGGAAAGGAGAGTGAGGGAAAGAGGGGGCAGCCCTCAGCCCGATCATCCAATTCACTCTAACAGACAGGCATGGTTCTGTAGTCAAAGCAACTTCGTCACTTTCGTGTACCCCTCGGACGACAGCCCTTTCGGGGGTTCCTTAGAGATCGATTCACTCTACGTAGATTGACTGAATGCAGAAAGCCATCTACTGTCAGGCGATCGTGTTTTTCACAGGATTTCTCGTTACTCATGTCAGCATTCTCACTACTGATATCTCCAGGTGTTGTCACCAAAAACCTTCCCCGATTGACAGAACATCCTGCTATTGACACTTGAAAAAGCAACTTTCAAGGTCTCGTCGCTTCAGTGAATCACTTGAGCCCTGATACATTTTCGATGCCATGGAGCTAGACTAGTGAGCTATTACGCTTTCTTTAAAGGATGGCTGCTTCCAAGCCCACCTCCTGGTTGCCATCGCTCGATCACTTCCTTTTCCATTAAGTGATTGCTTAGGGACCATAGCGTACGATCTAGGCTGTTTCCATCTCGACTTTGGATCTTAGCACCCTAAAAGTCTGTCTATACAAATGATAATGGCCTATAAGAGTTTCCCTAGGGTTGGTAAGGCAAAATGGGGCCACTCTAGCCTATTGAGTGCTCTACCTCGAGCCATCAACATCATACGCTCTACTGAAATAGATTTCGCAGAAAACCAGCTATATCCAATCTTGGTTGGCCTTTCACCCTTAGCCACAAGTCATCCCTGAATTTTGCCACATACATGAGTTCGGTTCTCCAAGGCCTGTTAGAGCTCTCTTCAACCTGCACATGGCTAGATCGATCGGTTTTAGGTCAAATAGGAAGAACTAGTTGATTCCACCTCTGAAAAGTGCCTATACCTAATGGCTTAAGCCGTTGTTCCCATATTCTCGCTGACCCATCATGCAAAAGGTATGCTATTAGAGTGAGTGCGCTTTACTAATAGAATCTCTTATTTGTTCCATCCTTAGGAGGGGAGAATGATGCAAACGAGAAACACAGTTGGCAATGTTTTGGTAAATTTATTCAGACAAGAACAAGAAGTTTCAATAGAAGTGGAGAATGAAGTAGTTCCAATCGAAGAAGAACAAGTAGAAATGGGACAAAACCAAGAACAACCCATACGCTCCATAGGTAGGGATAATGTGTTGCTCAATTTAAGAGCAATGATGGAAAGAATTGAGAAGAGATTGGATGTGCATGACAAGATTCTTGAGAAGAAGCCCGAGGAAAGGTATAGTGGTACAGTTGAGAAAATCGAAGGTAACCACGAGAAGAAGAAAAGAGTTGAGATACTTGAAGAGGTGCAAGGGCACGAAGATGAGGAGTAATATGAAGAGAGTACACGAAGAGACTAATGCGTTTTATGAGGCTGACCGAGAAAGAACATAAGGGTTCCATCGACTATGTACTTAAGAGATTCACGAGGTTGAATCCTCCTCACTTTAACGGTTCCATTAAGGATAGAGCCGGTGAGAAGTAGATAGATTGATTGGAGACAATATTCTCAATGATGACCTACATGACTATAATATCTTGTAGTATTCTCACTCCATTAAACATAGTTAACCATTATAACTCCTAATAATTAGAGACTTAACTCAAAGTGATGATTATCAAGGTTTAATTCAAAAGTAAGGAATCCCAAGTTTTCTAAATAAAAATGTTTAAATCAATCAAAATCTTTCAGATCAGAGTAAAAATAAGTTACGGAATCATGGGATACCTCATAAGAGTAAAAAGGAATTAGAAACAATTGAAAAATAAAACATATGATGTGATACAGGGCAATGCACTACATATTGGGAGTATTTTGAAGCTCCTAAATATCACAGGTAAGCTTTCCTACTTAAATATTCTTCTCTTCTACCATTTTCTAAATGGTAGAGGTTAGGGTTTGATTGTTAACGGTGATTTTCAATCCATAGAAGCTATAGGTCTAAATTCATTGACTTAAATAGAGTTAATGGGAGTAGATTAGGCTAAGTAAACTTGATATTTATGGTTTTATGATGATTGATAGTTAGAAGACATTAAATGTCCAAAATTCTCATAAATTTGATGGTTGAAAATAATGTGGTTTTATTAATGTCCATTTAAGAGCTCAATGTTATTAATGAGAATTAAAGGACGCTAAGAAGCCTTATGGGTACTTTTACATGAGTCAAGAATAAATCCTAAGTATTAAGAAATGATGAAGTGTTAATGAAAAATAATTCAAAAATAAATATTGATGTTTTGCATGGTAAATGCTTGTAGAGTAACTACCATTAGAACTATTCAAGCTTCTTAGTAGCTTTGGGAGTGAGTAATTGAGGGGTGAAGCCTTTGACCTCTCAAAGGCTTGAGGTAATAGGGAAAAATTCTATCTTATACTTTTGTGTGTTTATTAGTTTATGAATTTATGATTTATCATTGAAATGTTTAAATTAAAAAAAAGATATGCAAGCATGGCTTGATTTGTTAGGAAATTCACTAGATGAAGTATGTGAATTTTATGCCTTGTGATGTAAAATTTCTTTGAGAACAAAATCAGTGGATTTTTGTATTAAGTTTATTGGGAGTCCAATGATTTTGTGAATTGAGAAGTAACATGAATTTTTGTTTATGAAAAGTTCAATGATGTTTTAAAATACTGGAGTTTAATCATTTTGAAAGTGTGAAGTACAAGAATTGTGAAGTTAGAGTTCAACGACTTGTTTGTTTTGAAGTTCCATGAAAAAGTTATTAAGAAAGCTCAATGATAGTGTAATGATGAAGTTTAATGAAAATTGATAATGTGAAGTTCTATGAATTATATATGTGTGAATTATGGTATGAATGTGTATTGCATGATCTTGAAAGGCGGGAGTTCGACTAGGAAGAGAAGTAGTTGATAAAAATTCATGCGGTAACACCCATCCGTGAGATGGTTTGCCTAATCGATTATATATATATTGTCCCCCTTGTTCAATGAGGTACTGTCCCACTAGTTCAACTAGGGACTCGAATCTAGCTAATTATCCACTGGTTCAATAAGAAGGCTAGTCTAGGGTGTATAACACCTCATAATGTGAGAAATTAGGAAAACCATGTTCCATATGTGAATTGGGTGCACCTTAGCTGGGTAATCCCCTCACAAGTGTTTAGGTTAGGAAAATCATAGAATATAGACTATCCCATTAAGTTATAGCCCATGGTTTCATGTTAGAGGAATAAGGATATAAGGGAGGTGTGATCATGCATATATTGATTAAGGACACTTGTTGTTTATATTATGTCCCTAATGATGATATCACGAGTTGAGTCTTAATTTCTTTCAATGTATTTATCAATGATTTGTATGACCAACTCTTTTTATATGAAAAGTACCAAAAGCATTGTTTCTCAAGTAAATGTTATTATGTGAGTAGAATTGTGAATATCTATTTTCAAATGTTTTACATGGCCTAAAGTATTGACATTAACTGCGACTTGCATTTAAACTAATTGATATGTATTAGTATGGATTAGTCGGACCTTGGTTACTGAGTAGTTATACTCACCCCATTATCTTCAAATTACAGGGAATAGCTCAAGAGGTATGGACAGAGAAAAACACCTAAAGGCTTAGAAACGCGATCCTTTTATAGTAGGTCTCCTTATTTTGAGTAAACTTATGTGTATGACAATTTCAATTGTCAATTAGGAATTCTCATTTGTTCCTTACTTGCATTATATGAGTTGTATATTGTAAGTGTATTTTGGGCCTTAGGGAGTGAGTTGACGAATATGTGTTATTATGATAGGGCCAAAATACTAATACAAGTAAGAGTAGAGCATATTATGAGATAGTTTGGGAGAACTTGATGAAAATTGTGGTAAACTCCCTTTTTTATGTTTTTGAGTTTAAAGAGTTGAATAGTGAAAATTTAATCTAGGAGTATTTCATGTGATATGGTGCATTGCACTAGTTAATGATTTATATATGGTGTCAATGGCTATTGGCCTTTGATATTTGGTTTGGACACTTGATTTTATAAAGATTGTTGTAAAAGTGTAAGTTTTGAAAAGTGTATCCAATTTTTATTTTAGAAATAATTTGAGTCTGAAACTAATGCCATAAGATAGAGGTCGGAGAGAGCTTTATATAGACACCTAGTTCGCATCATGCAAACGTCAGATATAGATATGGGGTGCATCAAAAGTTGGCCCTAATGCTGTCAAATTCATAGTAGAATTCACTATTAAAATTCATGCAATTGTGCTGTGGCGCATGGTGCCATGACCTATAGCGCATGTCATAAAGGCAAACACACCATAGTGTATGTTCAATAAGCTGTGGCATACGTCTCAATTTTTTAAAAATTATTTTGTTTTAAATTCTTAAACAAATACACTCACTTATGTAAATAATCCCATACTTCTATATATTTGTGAACTTTGATTTGTTTGGTTGCAAGACTTTGCAAATAATTTTAGTTTCGTAAACTTAAGGTCCCTATTTTGCTAGCCAATGGAAACTTTATATCTTAATAATTACTATAATTTCATTCCCTAATTATTTGAAATTTGGTTTTAATTATGGGATTAAAAGGAGGAGGATGTTACATAGAGGGTCCCTACATTATTGAAAAAGTGTTTGACTATGACACTTTAACACTTAATGACCTTTACGTGAAATTCCCTTCAAGGCAAATGGTTATTTATGCAAACAATTTCATGAGGGAGAATCATCTTCATTGCTTGCCAAGTTGAGGTTTATGGAGCCTCTATGAGTTCACATAAAGTTGTCTCTCTCCTTTTATCCCCTTTAATTGCTTTGATTATTCACAAATCACACAAATGAAGCACTTTTTTAGATTTGCTTGCTGACATAATTCACACATGTAGTACGCTATACTTTGCTTGTGTTTATGTTTATATAAGGTTTAATTGTAGGGGAGAGGTAACCTATTCCATTACATTAGAAAAAATTTAGGTTTTTCATTTTTCTTTTCTTTATTTTTGCTTGATTTTTTTTTAAAAAAAACTTCTTTTCTTAATTTTGCATACATTTTATTATGGAGTCATTGTCTTGATTTTTCCTTGAGTACATATATTAAGGACAATACATGACATAAGTGTGGGGGAAGAGTCATAAAAATTTTGATTTTTCAAAGAAGAAAAATTTAAAAAAAAAATCTGTTTGACTTTGGTTAGGTGATTGAGGAATTTTTCTTAGATTTTTGGAATATAACTATTGAAATGTTGTTGCTTTGGCTATTTTACTTTGTGAAACAAACTTTCTATTACATTATGTGTGATTGAGTAGAAAGGCACAAACCTTGTTTGAAGAAGCCAAACAATATAGAATGAGTTGTCTTTTAGTTTTAGCATCCTCCAAAACTTGTTTCTTATCTTATTTAAGGCTACATCATTGCATTTACTTGAAGGAAAGTGATAGTAGGCATTCATTAAAAAGTCAAAGGCCTTTAACTAACCTTGATTTGTTTTATATCCTTTGTTAGCCCTTTGAGCCTTTTTGGTTTATTTCATTTGTAAAAGCAAACACTACACCCTCTTTAATCATGGATTGCATGTAAATTTTTTGTTTTTTTGTTGCAATGAATATTTCTCTCTTTCGTTTAACTTTGAGGATAGCTATCATTATTTTTTTCCATTATTTTATTCCTTTCCATTTCAACAAAGGTACCCAAATAGTTGTCAAAGAACAATGTTATTTTTAGAAGCTAAAGTTGCCAAGTTGAAAAACAAAAAGAACAGAAAAAGCAAGTTAGAAAATAAAAGAAGAAAAAACAATATTTGAAAAGCAAAAGAACGAAGTGAAAAGTAGAGAAATGAAATAAAGAGATTGAAAAATGAGTTTCTTAGGTTACATATTTGTGAAATATATCTTGTGCTTCTATTTCCACTATTATTTGTATCTTTCTTTCCAATCCATAACCTTAGTTATTTCATTTTCTTGTTGAGCTATCCATTTAGTTAGACTCTTGAGTGCTTTGTAAATTGTTGCATGCTACATTATGGCTAAGACAAGTTTCTCAAGCCAATCGCTCAACTCCATCTCTCCTCTCAATTAGAGCTCAATCATCTAACAGAATCATCGCTCATCTTCAGTCACCTTACACAAATGCTCTGTAGCTCTCAACTCATCTTGTACATCTTCCTCTCAGTCCAGATTCATCTAATGGCTTGAATTTCAACTCATTCATGGCAGCTTCTTATAGACCTCTCCTTCAATCAATAGTTATAGAGAGTGAGATAAGAGGCTAAAACTTCAAGCATTCTTCAAGATGATGAAATTTCATTTGAGCTTTATATTCTCTTGATTTTGGTTTTGTTGTTGCTCAGATCTGATTTTGAATTTAGTTCATTGATTCTAGTTATATTTAATAAATGAATTTGATGTCATTTATCTTGTTAAGGATTAGGTTGCTTTGGTTACATTTTCTATTAAATTTATGCACCTCAAGTGTTTGAGTTTATGTTTTAATGGTTATTACTTGCTGAATTCGAATTCCTCTTGAGTCTTGCTTGATATTTCTATTCATTTAGTTTCCATTATGTCTTAATGAGGAGTTGATTGTCTAAATTTAATTGTTCTAAGTGTCAGAGCAAGGTTTTAACAAGGTAAAAATTCAATGTGATTTGTTTAATCAAAGTTTGGCAATTGTTCAGGAGTTATGTGTCTTGGTCTAAGCCACATTTACCTAGTCCTAGTGGTCATTAGATTTTTAATTTTATCAATTGAGTAACATAGGGACCGAGGTCATGGAATTAAGGAGTCTATGATGGTGGAATGGGTTCAAAATTTAGAATATTTACTCATTTGCTTGTTTGAGTCAATTTTATTTCCATTCATTTTTACTTGAATTTATAAAACCAAAAAATTAATTTTTTCTCTTCTTGATTTTTGTCAAACGAATAGTGACTTTAAGTTGTGAAATGATTTATGAATTGAATTTAGTTGCTTAAACTTGCTCTCTTAGGATTTTAATAGGGCATGCGTCATGGCATGTACCACATGCGCCATGGCACAAATGTTAGTTCTGCAACTATCATTTGCCAGCACACAAGACAAATTTTTGGCGTGCATCATTTTCACATATGACATCCGAAATGATTCAAGCGCCCACACAAAGCTTATCTTATAAGCTAACTAATGAGAAAATTTTGGACATGATCTAATGGTCCAATCAAAATCTAAACACCCGAGTATAAAAAGTCACTTTTTATAAAAATTTAGCACACAAATCACTCACATTATCTTATTAGACTATTTTAAGCTTTGAATTAAGTCCAAAAGGACTTAATACACATGAGTGACCACATTTTATACCATACATACACATAGATCAAGATTTAGCTATTCAATAGCCCATTTTTACAAATATAAACTTTTCACAACTTGGCTTAAAAACTTTCCACTAGCCATTTTCACTACAATATCACCACAATTCTCAGTTTTTCATGTTCACATCATATTCATCACAAGCTCACAACTAAATCTTAGCCCCGAAGACTCATTTCACCACATACTAATACATGTAAGCTAAGATTTACTAAATCAATACAAAATTTCAACAATTCACTACTTATATCCATTCAAAACATGTATGCAAGTCCTATGGCAACTTATATATACAACATTTACAACTAGTTTAAGTTCATAACACAAACCTCTGGGATTGTATGGGTTGATTGTCAATAAGCAGGCCCTGAGTCTTTTTCCTTTCCTTGATCACTATTCTGTCTTGTAAAAATGTAACTATAGGGTGAGATAATAATCTCAGTAATAGAGTAACTATCTACTACTAACTATCACATGCAGCCATAAGCAACATTATATAATATATGGGTAAAAGTATAGCATAAAATATAAGTTTCTCTTCAATTTGTATCAATACATATATTTCAACACTTTCACAACTCATATTTACCACTATTCACGACTCATAACATTAATAGCATGATCATTTCTAACAAACCTCCAAATCACCCTAATTTGAAACCATAAGCTCACCTAGGCCAATATATACACTCATTGACCTTGAACTCACCTTCAATGGTAGAGTCACTAGGCCAAAGGCATTCTCACTCACTTTTAGATTATAATTTCCCCTATTACGCATAAAAGAATGTCGTTGACTCTAACGTCACATCATATCGATACTAAGGAATCTGAATCTCTAACACCACACCTCAATAAGTACCCAAGAAATAATCTCTAACACTGCACCTCGAAAGGTACTAAGGAGATATAATTCTTCAATACCATATCCCATCAGGTACTAATGAGAATATCTGTAAGGTCTCCCTTACTTAACCACAAAATACTCCACAATTAAGGTAATTAAGGGATTAACCCTCAAAGGATTACCAATTGTAAAATTTCATAAAAGAGCAAATTTCTCAAATCATTTATAATGAAATCCCACATTCAACATTTCAAATCTCAAATCATACTTCTTAAGTTCAAACTAGAGTTTAAAAATGGTGCAGAAGCTTAGAAATTATATGGGACCTAAAACATTGAGTTTTAAAATTTCAAACTGATATTTGTGTATAAAATGACTTATGCACCGCAGCTCGTCCTTTTCTATGCTATGAGTCGCAACATAAGGCGCTATGCACTATGGCACATTGCACGAATTTGACAGCATCACTGTTTTCATTTAATAGCATAGGGAGTGAACTTTTGATGCATCCTAAATCTCCGTCCGACATTTGATTGAGGTAGTTTTGGTGTCTACACAGAGCTTTCTCCTAACTCTAGCTAATAACACTAATTTCATTTTCAAATTCTTTTTCTACAAAAAGTTGGACATCAAAACCTATTTTGACTACTTTTCACAAAAATCTCACAACTTTGGTGCCCCAACTCAACCCCAGGTGCTATAAGCTTATACCAACCATCTGACT